TCGACGGTAGAATGACCAGGTGGGTAGAATATTTTAGTCAACTTCTCAGTCATCCGCTGAGCAATTCGGCGGATATTCATCCCAATATGGCGTCCCCATACGAGGTCCACTGTAATCCCACAACGATAGAATAAATTACCGGAGTGATCGGTCGCTTGAAGTCTGGTAAGGCCCCTGGTGAAGACGGAATCCCGGCAAAAATATAGAAGAAATGCCTTCCGGTGGTCATCAAACCGCTTCACTCTCTTTTTCGCTCTATTCAGGAGACCGAAACATGTCCAACTGATTCGAACACCTCGGTTTTACTTCCGTTCCCTAAGAAGGGCGACAAGGCACTGCGAGAACTATCGGGGTATCATCCTGCTAGATGTGACTGCAAAAGCGTTTGCCCAAATTGTGCTTAATCGATTTGCTACAGTGAGGCCTGCACGTACGCGGCCAAACCAAGGAGGCTTCCAACCCGGCAAAGGATGTATCGATCAGATTTTCATCCTAAGGCGAATTCTGGAACACCGATACAAGTTTCAGCGCCCCACCGCTACGTGTTTCATTAACTTTCGCACCGCATTCGATTCTGTGGACCGCGAGTCATTGTGGAAGATTATGCTTGCAGGTGGCGTCCTTGCAAAGTTGGTCAACATAATGAGATCGTATTTCACCCAATCCAAAGCCTGCATCCGAGCCTACGGCGAAGAGTTTCATCCCTTCGACCTGAGGTCAGGAGTAAGACAAGGATGCCCGCTGTCTCCAGTGTTGTTTAACTTCGCCGTTGATTGGATTCTGCGTCGGGCAATGGAAGGTTACCAAGGCGTCCAAGTTTCCGCAGGTTGCTGGATTACTAACCTTGAATTCGCCGATGACGTGATAGTGCTTGGAGAGGACCTGACCGCCTTGCAAACAGCTCTCAACCGTATCAAAAGATTTGCCTCTGAAATCGGCCTTGAGATTAATCCCAACAAAACCGAGATGTTCGCTACACCATCTGATTAAGCGGAACATCCTCTGCAACGGTATGGTCAGACAATATAAATCGTATCNGTGAGGCATGCAGGTACGCGGCCAAACCAAGGAGGCTCCCAACCCGGCAAAGGATGTATCGCTCAGATTTTCATCCTAAGGCGAATTCTGGAACACCGATACAAGTTTCCGTGCCCCATCGCTACATGCTTCATTGGCTTTCGCGCCGCATTCGATTCAGTGAACCGCGAGTCATTGGGGAAGATTATGCTTGCAGATGGCATTCCTGTAAAGTTGGTCAACATAGTGAGATCGTATTACACCCAAACCAAAGCCTGCATCCGGGCCTACGGCGAAGAGTCTCGTCCCTTCGATCTGAGGTCAGGAATAAGACAAGGGTGCCCGCTATCTCCAGTGTTGTTCAACTTCGCCGTTGATTGGATTCTGCGTCAGGCAATGGAAGGTTACCAAGGCGTCCAAGTTTCCGCGGGTTGCTGGATTACTGACCACAAATTCGCCGATGATGTGATAGTGCTTGAAGAGGACCTGACCGCCTTGCAGATAGCTCTCAACCGTATCAAAAGATTTGCCTCTGATATCGGCCTTGAGATTAATCCCAACAAAACCAAGATGTTCGCTACTCCATCTGATCAAACGGAACATCCTCTACAACTGGATGGTCAGATAATAGAAATCGTATCGGAATTCAAGTACCTTGGGTCCACCATCCTACCCAATGGACAAGCCGAAGATGACGTAAAGCGGCGCATCGACACGGCCCGAACGGCGTTTCTGCAGCTCCGAACCACCCTATGGCGCCGGAATGAGACCAGCCCCAAAACCAAGCTCAAGGTGTTTGCCACAGCGGTTCGACCAGTCCTACTATACGGCTGCGAAACCTGGCCGCTGAGAGCTGAGGACATCAGACGATTGGAGGTTTCCGATCAATGGTGTCTCAGAAATCGATGCCACGTTGCCTGTCTCTAACGCACATACAACGCCGCCGACTGCAATGGCTGGGCCATGTTCTCCGCAGACCCGACGACACTTTCACGAGTATTGTCCTGGCACCGACACCATGTCCTGGCTGGCGCCGCCGACAAGGGGAGCAAGTAAAAACCTGGCTGGACACTGTATTCGAAGACGTCGACCAACTTGGTCTTAGGATGGTGTACGGCACTCGCCGATGGAAAACAAACTGGATCAACATTTGCAAGGATCTTGCAGCAAACCGCCAAGCATGGATAGCGGCTATCAGAGACATTCATGGAGCCGGCTTATCCTTTCCAAGGAGCCAGTCGCAGTAAAGTAAAGTAAAGTAAGTATTTCAGTACACAGTTTAAGTGTGTGGCATCCAAAACACATGGATTTCCACATTTCAAATGCGGCGAATTTGCTTGAGCCACCTTACAAAATAAGCGATAAATCAAAACTTGAATGATGGTAAATT